ACTTTAGCTTTAACTTAAAACTTAAATAAAAATCATTAAGTTTAAACTGAAGCTTAAGTGAAAATTATTTGAGTTTATGCCAAAGCTTAGACAAAAGGGATCTTAGTTTTTAAATCGATGTTTATTACTCTGGGTTTTAACATATATTATACTTAGCAACATAAACTTAATTAATTTTGCATTTTTGATATTGATCTATTGCTACTGTTCTATTAGCCTTTAATTTTCAATAGCGTTATCACATTACTCTGTATGTAATAATAATTATTTCTATATTATGAATCAGCAGTGATAGAAAATGCTGATCGAATATAAAATATTATGAAAATGTAATGGGGTTGAAAAAGATGAACACATGACATTAGTATGTATATTATCAAAATCATCAATGATGGAAAATGCTATGGAATACTTAACGTTGGACATTCTTGTTAAATAGAATTGGTTGAACATACTAAAAACGGAAAAATTAATCCATATAATTATATATAATAATTTTAATTTTTCTAATTTTAAGGAAATGATTCTAACATTCGTTCAAGCCAGCCATAATTTAAAGGATGTCTGGATGAAAGAAGTTGGTAATAAAAAAGAGGAAAGAATTATGGTTACAGCTGTAATTTTAAAGATAACTTTGGATATCATTGGCCTTGTTGATAAGTATTAGCTTATATTTGGATTATACCAGTATGATCACATGAATATATAACATGAATGTGAGAGGGATGTTTTCATTCAACTTTTTTGATGTCGCTTAGGTTGATTTTCTTAAAATCCTTGTTTTTAGTAAACATTATGATTTTCATTTGTATGATTTTGGTATTTAGAATTTTCTTACTATGTAACGAAATAATGTAAAATCATTATTGTACGTAGCATTTTGAGGATAAGGCATATAAAAATTATTATACGTATAAAGACTTGAAGTGACAAATGTTTGGTCAATTCTTTTAAAATATTATTTATATTGGATTGACAAGTAATTCGTATGATTTATATAGCAGTTTACAGTAAGTATGGGCTTTCTGCTATACCAGTACAATTATATGAATGTGCAATATGAAATACAAGATTATTAATATCGCTTATGCTGATTTTTGCAAAATCTATCTTTAGCAGTGCAAAAACTTCTACGTAGTTTTGTGATTAGTTATACAGCAATAGTAGCTAAGATCCTACAAATAAGTCTTACTAACATGCTATATAATGATATAGCCTATTCTTGTCCAGGCTGTAATTTCCTTTTAGATACGTTTTACATGCAAAGATACAATGGCTAATTTAGTATTAAGCTATGACACATTTATTTAGTAGTCATGAGTATGCAATTTATTAGAAAATATGAATAGCAAATTTGAACTGATATATTTAAAGCAGATATCCTGACATTTATAACATAGAAACTGTGATTGATAGCAAACAGATTCCTTCTAATCAATAATAATAAAAAGTGTTATGATTGAAGAATTCAAAATAACAAATTTTGAATTTATTTGTGCTAATTTCAGAAGAGCCTTTTTAAACCAGTAAGACGCGAACATGAGTTTAAACTTGTTACGTGATCATACTGGTTCTACACAGTGATATGCACTACGCAGCTACCCTAATATATGTTAAGCTTCTTTAATAATACTCCTAATTGTAATCATGATCATATTATTTATTGTAAATAGGGTTTAA